ACAATGTTGCCTCCTGTACTAAAGATGTTGGAACCTTTTATCATAATGTCTCCTCTATCTCAGATTGCAAGAAATATGAGCTGCTATGCAATACGTGAAAACCAGATCCATCATTTGTTTTCCCTAGATGTTCAACAGGGTGCAAATTTCAGTATCAATGGCTTGAGACCTTTCCATGACTAAGATATTATGCTCTCTCTAATGGTGCCTTCTGCATAAATTGTGTGTTGTTTGTAGGGGAGACTACTCACAATTCATCAAAACTCATCAACTTATTCAAACTGCCACTTAATGACTGGGCAAATGCTTGTCAACGGCTTAAGGATTATCATTCCAAATCTAAGGTGCATGCAACCGCCACTCTCAGAGCTGGCCAATTCAAACAGTGCATGGAAAACAAGGTTACTCCTATTAATGTCCAGTATGACAAGGCTATCTCCGCTCAAGTGCAGTTGAACAGAGAAAAATTGAAACCCATAATCGAAGGGGAAAATAACATGTGGGCGGCAAAATTTTGGGCTTCGGAGTCACAGAGATGATGCAAAACACCACAACGAATCAAAAAACAACCCTGGGAATCTACAGGCATTGTTAAGTTTTCTTGTGAGATGTGGCAATAACAAAATCTTTGCAGATCACTTTGCGAATGCTCCACGTTCTGCAACTTACAAGTCTAAAACTACGCAGAACGAAATTATTAAGATATGTGGAGCCATGATAACTGAGAATTTATCAAGTGAAGTCAAGTCAGCAAAATATTTTTCAGTGCTTGCTGACCATTGGTAACGTAGAACAAATGTCTATTGTCTTGAAATTTGTTGACAAGGCATCACTAGTCCGCGAGTAGTTTCTTGGGCTTGTTGCTTGTGATGAAGGTTTATGGGGTGATTAACAGCAGCGGAAATTTTGGGTATTGACATGAGCAACTGTCGCGGTCAAGGTTATGATGGGGCATCAAATATGTCTGGGAAGTGTAGTGGAGCTGCTACGATCATTCAACGGCAATATCCACAAGCACGTTATGTCCACTGCAAATCTCATGTTCTGAATCTCACTGTTGCATCTGCTTGCTCTCTCCAAGTTGTTCAAAATATGATGACCCTCGTCAGGTCTGTAAGTGCTTTCTTCAATGTACACCCAAAGCGTTTTCAGTTGTTAACACAAATGATCCAAGAGATTTTGCCTACTGCCCGTCATGAGCGTCTGATTGATGTTTGTCGCACTCGTTGGCTTACAAGGATAGATAGCCTAGACGTTTTTATTGAACTTTTCGAGGCAATTGTCATTTGCTTAGAAAAGGTGAAAGATAACTGTGACAATACCAGGAGCAGTAATTATTTCAAAGATGCTAGTGGTTTGTTTTATGGGACAGTTGCTTTTGAGTTTATCGTGTGTCTTGTTGCCGTTAGCAGAATGTTAGAGGTCACCAGGCCATTAACAAAGCAACTGCAATCCGTCTCTCTCGATACTGCTGCTTGCGCTAACAAGGTATCATTGCTATATGCAATGTTGCTAAGAATTCGAGGTGATATTGATAAGTTGCATGATCAGTGGTATGCAGAGGCTGTTGAAATTGCAGAGAAAGTCGGAACCCCTGCTTCCAAACCACGCATTGCAAGAATCCAAAGTCTTCGTGCGAATACACCATCTGACTCACCATCTGAATACTTTCGTCGTGTTACAACAATTCCACTCGCTTCTCTGATCAAAATCTAAAACTTTTTAATGCTTATTACGCACTTCCGCAAAATCTCCAAGACTCCTACTGGCAAGAGAAATTCTCCATTTTCCTCTCTATGTTTAAGTCTGATCTTGCTGAGCCCCGCTACTTGTCTACGGAATTGAAATCATGGGAGAGCTATTGGGAAATGTTTCATGGAAGACGTCCATCAACAATCTCTGACCTCTTACCGTTTATCGACGAAATGATTTTCCCTAATATAGAAACTGCACTGCAGATAGCTCCTACAATTACTGTCACTACATGCTCTTGTGAGCGATCTATTTCAGTGCTGAGGCGTTTAAGAACAAATTTGCGAAACTCGATGACGGAATCTAGAAAGAATGGGATAGCTCTACTCCATGTCCATCGAGAAGTATCTCTTGATGTTGATTCCATTATAGACAGGTTCGCCCGGCAACATCCAAGAAGGATGAAACTCCTGGACATTCTGAACTCTGATCCTATTTAAATAGTAGTGTATGCTGTCCAAATTTTAAATAATGAGGAATAAAAATAATCTAGTCGACATTGATGAGATGCTGGGCTTTTTTTGTTGATGGGGATTTATTTTGTCAGGTCTTTTCCAAAAATTATCTCTTATTTTAAAAACAGATAATTTTTTGCAACGACTGAAAAAGCTTCTTTTCAAAACAGGCAAAATATCCATAACAAAACAAAACAAAGATATGCTTTTTCATTTAGCGTCAAGGTTTTACTGCTTTGTTGGTAAAAATTTGTTAGAATTTAGTTTAAAAAAGCTAACTAGCTATACATAATTGTAATATAAATTTATATAACCATGCGTGCCGATGTTTAGAATGTTTATTTTTCCTCCCTCTAGTTTAAAATGTTTCAATGCAAAGAGAAATTCCCACAGAAATGATTTTTACACAATTTTTTGTAATTATATAAGCAGCTTTTATAAAACAGGCATGGTTTAAATTAAAATTGGGCGTGGTAATGACCACGCCCTTGTTTTGTCTTGCTTTAGTTAGAATTCAGCCTGGATCCGCCCCTGGTCGAATCCTTCCAAGTAAATCTCTCCTAGCTTCAAGGACCAGCATCTGTTTTTGCTCTTCAAAAATGTCATGTGCCAAAACGTAATGCTTCTCTTTAAGTAGCAATTTTAGACCACTATCTGTCACTGCTTTATCTAAATTGAACTGATAGATGTTGGAATCTTCATCAGTATCTCCTCTGATGGGAACACCCTGGCGCAAAAGTGTCTTTACAGTGTGAAGATGCGAATTAAACCTTGCATCCTTAAATTCTGCTTTTCAAGCTTCAAAGATGTTATTGTTGATGCAATTGATAAGTTTGATTTTTCCATTGCACATACCGCAGCTTTGTGAGTTTGCCTTTTTTAATGCTCTTTCATTTTATCTTGTCCTTTTTTCAAATTGTCAAAGCCCTCACCATATTTGAATTAAAGTTTCCTTTCCGAGATTGGCTGTGAGATGTGCAAACTGTTGGGATTTTCCATTGATGCTAGCGCATTTAATATAGCACTGCAGTACATGCTTATCGTGTAGAGATTTGTTTTTTCTTTTTGTTAATTCATAGAGTTGCTTGCGTAATTAATGTTTGTGTAGGTATCCGTAATAGACTTGGTTAACGGCGTTTTGGGCTGACTCAGGCTAATCATAGGCTGACTCAAGCTATTCATCGGTCTAAACAAACAGCTTAACGACATTTATTAATCCGTATATGCATTTTAAAGTTATTCATAAAAAATCTTTGACGTAAAATTTGCATCCTGTTTTTCTAAATGCTGATTGGTAGACATATTTAGTTCGTGTAGATTAAAAGTATATAAATCGTCCGATTGTAAGGTAAGAAGCGATAGAGACGGCGATAGAGAGATAGGTAATCTGTACTGAGGTGTACAATGAAGAAGGATTGGATACAACTGTTGTGTTTCCTTTAGTGTTCTCTTGGCACTTTAACATTAAATCTTTGAACCAGCAGATAGTTCTGGTGTTGGTACACTAGATAATTTCTACACAAACTGAACAAAATGCTTTTTTCTATCTCTGTTATATGCAAGCCATTCAAATGCTGCAAACCAATCTGCGTGAAAATATCTTCCACTCCTTTCATTACCTGCTCTATCGTTGGAGGTAAAATCATTCTTTCTCTCGACCCAGGCTTCAGTGAAACTTGATGTATCATCTGGTTTAGATGTAATTTTTTCGCTTGTTCCTACAGATGATGGAGACAAAGCTGGTTGATCTGTTTCACGATACTCACCTCTGCTGATGGATTGGTGCGAAAAAATTGATGTTATTTTTGCCTGTCCTGGCTTTGCTGCTGCTTTCCTAAGTTCTTTTGCGACTTGTTTTTTGTTTCGATCAGCCTTTGGCATCTTGAGGCGCGTCATAAAGATTTAATACAACACAATTTTGTAAATCGAAGTCTCAACGATGTTTTTCATCGGAGATTCCTGAACCACGTCAGCAAGCCAAAATGATATAACACACCGCTTTCGCTGTTTTTTTTAAGTGATGGTATAATTTGTTTGATTTCCCAGTAGCTATCCTTTGTTTCAGGCTTCCTGTTTTTTTAGAATACTAAAGGCGGCTACAGCGAAGTCAGAGAAATATGGCACTTTACTGACTACTTCCGTTTGTTTTTGTGATTTGAACTTAACATGCGAAATCAAAAATTAATATTGCCAGGCTTCAAAAAGGCCTTTAGGGCCAGGTCAAGCATTGGTAAAAAAGTGAAAGTTCTTCTATAAAGGGCACTCTTGCTCCCCCAACTAAAAGGCAGGATGGGCGCTTGCTCCCCCCTGCCCCCCTCTCCGGCGTGCCTGAGCCTACATTTGCATTTGTGGATGTAACCGCGCACGAAATAATCTTTTGCTAACGTTGGGCGAGTCTCGTCGTTGAAGTCTGGGTAGGATAATTTCACCAATTCCATTAAGTTGTATGCATAGGTTACGCGGGCGGTTTGAAAGTTCGAAGATTGCTTCCTCTCGATTTAATTGCCGATCTCGAATTTTTTTAGAAGCTCTTCTCTTATTTTGTCAACTTTCTTTCCATCCTTGGTAGATAAACGCATACAAAAACATCGAAGGCAGGCCCATCTAATCTGCTTGTCAAATATTGAGCGCATTTCTATCCGGTATACCCTTTCAATGAAAAATTTCGCTCGACCTTAACGATAAATTCCTTCACGTTTCCTTGTTCGTTAAACAATTCAATTTTATTTTCCATTTTGATTCTGTAATAGAAATGTAGCCGTAGTCGAGACTCATAAGATAATACTTCATGTGGCTTACTCACAGAAAGATCCATTATAGAATAACAAAACATACAAGACAACGAAATATAGGGGAATATAGTCTAACAAGCAATTCCAAATTCATGCAAACTTTGGCAGCTGCTAAAGATTCTCGAAACCTCATCACCATTGTTGTAGGTCATGTTAACCTTGGCATTAAAACCGTCCGCTTCTTTTTGGAAATCAAGTAAGACCCCGTAAACACGAGAGTGGATCCGATCTGGATCAGATCCAAAAGAGTACTAGAAGGCTTTGCGTTTACACGGGAACTGGTTGAGCCGTATACTTTTGGATCCGCTATACGAACACTTTTGGAATCGCTTTCAGAGGTGATACCGTATGGATCCGATCTTGACCGGATCCTGTGTAAATAGGTGAATCTGGTCCAGATCGAATCCGTCTACGTTATTTGTCGAAAGTAAGACAGAATATTTTTCAATTCAAGGTAGTTTGAATATATAATCCGTGGCTTTTTGGCGCCAAGAAAACCGAACAACAAGTTCACAGACTACTGTGTTGTAGAATTATTAGGAAACTTTGACGATATGTCATCTTTCTTCGTTTCATATTTTACCAATTTGTTCACCTGCAAACTTTGCAATTTTGTAATCCAATACTACTTTTAAACAAAGCGCAGTTTCTTCTTCAGTCCAAGAAAATTTACCCTTTTTAGCATTCCCTACCTCCATGTTCAGGTTGAACTGTGTTTTGATCACGCATCAAGACGTGAAAACGTCATATGCGCGCCAATTTTCGAAAAGCGCATGTGCGTAACCTGTTGAATTCATCTGGATCCGTTCCCGTGTAAACGCAAATGGTTCTGGATCGGATCCCATGTAAATGCATTGCCATTTCAGGAATAGGATCCTAAAGTATACTGGTACTTGTGAATCTGATCTGGTCCAGGTCTATGTGTAAACGGGGTCTATGAGTACCTTGCTTTCATCTTCTTTGTCCCAGAACGTTTCGGCAGTTTTCATCCCTTTGGTCTCTGGCAAATAAAACAACATAGCAACGGCAATCAAACTGCTTCCTCCCATGACAATGAAGGGCAACGAGGCGTGTACCGGCCTCAGTCCGGAAGCAATCCATGGTGCCCCTGCGGATCCAATTCGACTTGCTATTTGCAAAAGTCCAAGCCCCTGTGATCTGCGCCAAATGAAACATGGTTTCATTAAACAAAAACTGATTTGGTGCAAAGCACATTTCCTTTAAACGCAGAGCTACATTATAATTTGATCGAGGTTAAATTAAAAAGAAAACGATTCCTAGAAGCTTTGTTAGAATTTTAGCTATCCTGAGCAAAGTATCGGCTCAGATTTTACGTGAATGAAAACTCTTATAAAACTATAAATGAAAATTCGTAAGTTGAGCAGTTACTCGGAGTTTGTTCTCGGTGAAGGAGCTGAGTAATTACTAATGGTAATAATGCTAACTAATATTTCAACAGGTTGACTTGGTCACCTGAAATACCATCTGTTATCATCCAAGGACCCCTACAGTGCTTTTCATCAGCTGGTATCGCAAATTTGGTTACCACAGCGGAGACTTTTCAGAGACTCATTTAATTGCGGATCGACTAACGTTATATCATTTTAAGTTGTAATATTGTCATGCTACGTCTTATTGGAGTTATTGTGTATGCAGCTCTATCATTTTATTAGGCAAGCAAAGAACATGTTATCGTCCTTTGCAAGAGTTCTAGCTTGGCATTTCTTTGCATCGAAGCATCGAAAGTTGAAAACATATACCCAGTTGTGGATCTAAATAGGTGGAATGACGATCGGGCTTTAGCAAAAATATGAAACATGTCGACATTATAGTTTTTTGCACAATCTAGGTATTCCAGTAAATGCTGCCTGATAGCAGAATCGCAGGTTTTAGTTGCACTTTTAGATCTGCAAGACCGAGGTGGCTGTTCTCTTTGGGGATGGGTTTTGTTTCTAATACTAGACGGAACATGCTATTTTATTCTATCCTCCAATCTTTGGGTGGTGCGTCCTACGTAGCCAGAATCACACTGGCACGTAAATTCATATACAACGGAACTCTTTTGTGGGGTAGGAACGCATCCTCAGACAGACCGGGCATTTTTGGGGATCAATTTTACGTAAGCCCAGCAATTTGCTCTCGTCTCCTTAATGTAAACTGTAATGACATCATGAAAGTCAGGTCAGGTTTTTGAAACCTGCTACTGGTACCACGTAACCCAGTACAACCTGCCGCGGGTCGATTGGCCGGCGACTAAACCGACTCCCCTCAATCACAGCACACCAGTGTTGTGATTGGGGAGGGATTCTAGCATCCCAGCAGGACTAAAAAGAACACCTGTCAAAGGGCGGATGAACTCTTCAAAGAGTTAACGGCCAGCTAGATAGAGATGTTGTCTCAATAAAAACACCCTTGGGATGTCCCCGCGAGTGCCCAAGTAACCAGCGACTTACCTTCCACAATGGCAACACCAAAACCACGGCCCTCAGTCCCGGGCACTCGAAAGAGAGAGGGTGCTAAGAATCTCCCGGTTGAGAAGAATTCTTCTCTCACTTCAGTTGCTACTTGGAATGTGAGAACCTTGAATGTTGATGGAAAACTTGAGCAGGTGATCCAGGAAATGGCTAAGTTTAATTGGATGATACTTGGCTTGTCTGAGACTCACTGGAATGCAGGCATAGAAGAAGCTTTTGAAGAAGGGGATCATGTGGTAATACAATCATCCAGAAAGGACAATTTCTGTAAGCAAGGGGTTGGCTTCATAATTCATAAGACAATATTCCAACAACTCACACATTATGAATGCCATTCTGAAAGAATCATTAGTGCCACTTTCAAATTTAACACCCAAGAAGTCACCTTTATACAAGTCTATGCCCCAGACAGCACATACAATGATAGTGCGATTGATGGCTTCTATGACCAGCTGCAATGCATCATTAACAACACCAACAAAAAGGCTGAGATCATCCTTATGGGAGACTTTAACGCAAAGGTTGGAGAAAACTCCCACAACAACTGGCCAGAAGTAGTTGGTCATTATGGCTTAGGATCCATAAATGAAAGAGGCAACCTCCTATTACAATTCTGCTCAATAAACAACCTGATCATAACTAACACCATGTTTAGGCATAACACAAGAGACGTGCCACTTGGCTTTCCCCAGATGGTCTTACCTTTAACCAGATTGATTATATCATAGTTAAAGAAGATCTCAAACCAAAACTAAAGAACTCAAGAGCATACCACTCAGCTGATGTCTACACCGATCACTTCCTTTTGGTTGCAAACCTTGACATCACCTTAAGTTAACTTCATAAAAGGAAGAAACCTACCACTGTAAAAAGGTTTGATGTAGACAGGCTCATAAACGACCCTACATTAACAAGTCGTTTTGAAATCTCTTTGCAGAATCGCTTTAGTGAGCTTAGTGATTCTGACTATGAAGACATAGATAGTCTCTACTGCTCGTTCAAAGACTCAGTAAATACCACTACCCTTGAAATTACTGGTGTTAAAAAACGAAAGCACGTAAATGGACTAGATGCCGACATAGTAAAACTATGTGACAAAAGACGTCTGACAAGAAAGGAGATGCTGAATAAACCAGACAACAACCATCTAAGAACACATTATAATGACCTAAACAGGCAGGTCAAGAAGTCTGTCAGATCTCAGAAAAAGGCAAACTTGGAACAACTAGTTGAGAGCATGGAAGAAGATTTCAAAAGAAACAACACGCATAATCTATTTAAAAATGTAAGGCGTCTTGAAGGTAAAAAGAAAAAGCCCATAAGTGCCGTTAAAGATACCACAGGTAGCATCCACACAAACACAGATGTTATACTTGACTGCTGGAAGAAACACTTTGAAACGCACTTAAACACAGAGTTTCCCCATGAAGAGGATGCCTATGACTCATTACCAGATCCACCTGATGACGTTGAGCCACAAGATGAGTTTACTCTTCAAGAGGTTAGAAAAACAGTCCAAAAGATGAAAACTCACAAGGCACCAGGAGTGGATAATATCCAGCTGAAGTTCTTAAGGCAGGAGGGGAAACAATGATCAACATGCTCCTCAAAATTTTCAATATTGCCTGGAAAGAGAAAAAAGTGGCAAAAGACTGGTCCAGGATGATCGTCACACCAATCCACAAAAAGGGGGATAAATTAGACCCAGCAAATCACCGTGCCATATCCCTTCTTTCTATTCCAGGTAAAGTGTTCTGCAGCATATTACTTGACAAAACTAAAACGGCAGCGGAAAAAGCTATGAGTGAAAGTCAGTTCGGTTTTAGACCAGGTAGAGGAACAGTTGATGCCATATTCATTCTCAGGCAGCTGATAGAAAAGGCTAAAGAACATAAAGTTCCACTGCACTTTAACTTCATTGACTTTAAAGCTGCATTTGATACCATTTGGAGAAAAGCTCTTTGGAAAATGTTGCTAGCAATAGGAGTTGACCCAAGCATAGTCCATCTTATAGAAAACATGTATAACAACACTGAATGTGCAGTCATTATAAATGGGCAACTTACAGATTGGTTTGAGGTAAAGGTTGGAGTGAGGCAAGGGTGTCTGCTTTCTCCAATCTTATTCAACATCTTTCTAGAATTTGTCATGAAAGAACTTAAGGACCTCACCAACAATTCACTTACTCTTGACAACAATTTAAGCAATAATCTACGGTATGCAGACGACACCACTCTTATTTCCTGCATATTTGATAAGTTAATGTTACCTTCGGAAGCACTTGAAGAGGCATGCAAGAAGTGGAGTATGAAAATTAACTCAGCCAAATGTAAAGTCATATCCCTAGAAGATAACAAAGTTATTACTATCGATGGAGATCCTGTTGAACACGTTGACAACTTTGTGTTTCTAGGCAGCAATATACCAGGCTCCACAACAGACATAGACCGAAGAATTGGTATGGCATCCTCTGCATTCGGCCGGCTGAGATCTACGGTCTGGAATCAACTGTCAATTTCACATAAACTAAAAGTCCGCCTTTATAATGCACTTATTCTCCCCATTGCACTTCATGCCTCAGAAACCTGGACCATTACTTCTGTTGATCTACGGAAGCTTGAAACTTTTGAAATGCGATGCTTGAGAGCTATCCTTGGCGTCACCAGGTACGAAAGACTATCCAACAACTATATAAGAGATAAGCTTAAGGTCCAGAACATAGGCAACATCGTCAAAATGAGAAGGCTCAAATGGTTCGGTCACATGGCAAGAAGACCAGGAGACAACTACATCAAGTCTGTTTTTATCCAAGATTTTCAGGGAAATAGGGGTAGAGGTAGACCACCTTTGAGATGGCAAGACCAGGTTAGAAAAGACACTGGTCTTCCACTAGCAACTGCCATGAGGCATGCTCAAGATCGCCTCAAATGGGCTGCCATTGTGAGAGGTGCCAAGGGCCACTAGGCCTACGCCTTTGATGATGATGATGATGAATGACATCCTCTGGATAGCCGTTCTCCAGAAAAAATCTTTTTAGTTGTTCAAGTTCCGAGTCGAGTTTAGACTCAGAACAAATCATCACTGACCTATGAGTAAGCATTTTGATGAGCCTGATTTTCTTTTGTTTGGGGCAAAACGAACTCCATCGAGTGTATAACCTCGAAAATGCGGGTTTACGGTCTACACTGGTAAGAAATCCAGACCCAAAGCCAAACTTTTTGACCAAAACATCTAGAGATGGCAAGGAGTTATTTTCCTCCCTTTCAAATGTAAACTGTAGGGCTGGGTGAAGGCCATTAAGGTATTTTAGAAAAAGCATTGGATACCCTCAGAAGGTTCATGAAGGTTCCCGAGGTACAATTACGTCAATAAAATAAATACGAGGCTACGTGTTTACAATAGGCCTAAATAAGCTAATATAGAGAGCTATTCTAAGGGATTACACACGAAGCAAAAGTTCCTAGTATGTTCTAGAATGTTCCACTTTTTCGAACTAAGTACACTGTTTGTTAAAAATCTTGAAAAAGTCTGAAACTGGATTTCTTACCAGTGTATACCGTAAACCCGCATTTTCGGGGTTATACACTCGATGGAGTTTGTTTTAGCCCGGAAAAAGGTAGACCAGCCTCATCAAAACGCTAACTCATAGGGCATTGATGATTTCAGTTTACATTAAAGAGAAGAGAGCACATTTTTTCGGCTTGCGTAAAATATGGTCCCCAAAAGTTTTCGGTCTATCTGAAACTACCTAGGGTCGGAAACAGTTCCTTGCATTTCAAAAAACAGATAAAACATGCCATTTCAAATTGTTTCATTGCCGTGAATCTACGCATTGTTAACGGTACAAAAAAGGCTCTTCCCTCCATTCAAAAGGATGGCGTTCCTACCTCAGAAAAGAGTCCGTTGTATATGAATTTACCTGCCAGTGTGATTCTGGCTACGTAGGACGCATTACCCAAAGATTGGAAGATAGTAGATTAAAACGGCATGTTCTGTCTAGTATTAGAAATAAAACCCATCCCCAAGGAAAAGAGGCACCTCAGTCTTGCAGATCTAAAATTACAACCAAAACCTGAGATTCTGCTATCGGGCAGCATTTACTGGAAAACCTAGATTGTGCAAAAAACTATAATGGCGACATGTTTCGTATTATTGGTAAAGCCCGATCGTCGTTCCACCTAGCAGTTTTGGAATGTATCTACATAAGCACGAAAAAACCGCTATTGTCTAGACAAAAGGAGTTCGTTTTTATCTTAGGACTCCATTGGTAACAATCTCTATAGGCAAGCGACACTGATTGGGCGATCACAACAGTCATGTGCTCGCATTTCTAATTGGCCTACTTTGATCCAAAACTGGGTATATATATTTCCTAGCGTAGAGCTTTCGATCTATGTTCTGACGTTTTAAACTACTCAAATGTTTCCAATTTTCAAAGCCATTACCAGTTTTGTACCACCAAAAGATTGTTTAAAAAAAATAACAAAGAAAAGAGAAAAATGTAATTGACTATTAGCGGACAATTTTACCTGATGACTGTCGGGTAAATTTCAACTGCCCAGGTATATATACTGTCAAAAGATGTAGCAACGCCACATTTACCAATCATTCCAACAAGAATCCGCAATATGGATAAGCCTGCAAAAAATACATTTATTAATTTAGGTAGGGCCAGATTGAGTATGCAATAAGACCCGCATTCTAAATGGGAAATTGTTTCTAAAACCTCTCACACATTTGATTTCTTACAATTTCTATTGCCAAAACCCCTTAAAAAACCTTTTCCTTACATTATTAGCGGGGTTCTGTTACAAAGAGAATCTCTTTTGTCATTTGATTGACTGGGCGCAGGGCCAGGGCCCCTTTCAAGCATTTGAGTTCATGGATTGATACCATGAAATGAATTAAGTGAAAAGTTGAATAAGCTGTTCTGGCGAGCGATTGGTATGGAAAGGACAAATAGAAAAGCTTTGGAGTAGACCAACGCTATCAAAGAGCCTTGAATCTTAATAATTTTTCAGGGGATGATCTGAAAAATTTGGTTTTCATTCCAATATTCATAGGCTAAAAACTGCATACCATAACAAATGTTACGGCGACATGGCATTTGTAGAAGGGTTCCTTGCCGAAGAAAGGATCTCAGTTATATCGGGAAAACCATACGGAACACTGATCTTTATCTGTCTTATCATAAGGGCTCGTTTTACTGTGGAATAAACCCAGATCTCCTCAAAACGATATAGAAAATCAAGGTCGCTTTGCTGTTCAAGTTGCTACACTTGAATTTATAATTGTTCTGAAATCACATAACCCGAATAAAGAGCTTGCATGTGAAAAGTTTCCTATGAAAGCTCATGACTTATTCTTAGCTAATCAAGGCTGTAACTTGTAGTAGAATCTTTTGAAAGATTAAAAAAGGAATTAGTCGTGTATACCTTTGCCTTGATCAACGGGTATAGCTGGAATGAGAAGACAGGCAATGCTGGCGGTAGCTAACGAGATAATGACTGTCTTTTTTCTGCCAAAACTACAAAAAAGGTCAAAGCAAAATATACTTAGATGTTGGGTTGGCAATGGTAAGGCGTACAAAAATCTGATAAACTCTTCGAGATAACGGATGAACGATCTTTTTGCTAGACAAAGCCTCCATACAACTTTTCTGCGACAAGTTTACAATTCTAATAAATTTTTTTTGCGCTAAACCTTTACCTAGAAAATCACAAATCAGCGGTTGTAGTTATAAAACATTTTTATACACTTCATTTCTTTGACAAAATTACCAAAGATGCAGCTATCTGTTAATTTTTGAATACGAACTCACGCGTTGCAAAAGTATATGGCGAAGACAATGGCAGGAAATTCCACCAATGATGTAAGGATGAAATCTTGGTACATAGCTCCACTAAGGGCATCCGAGGCAAGCGTAACTCCATAATAGACAAGTCCATTTACCATCCTGGCACAAAAATATTCATTAAGCCACAAGTTTCACTCATTATTTCACTTATGCATATCTTTCTTTGCAAGGTCTTTTGCAAAGACTTCTAAGCAAGAAAGAAAAAACAATGTCAAAAATACTCGCAGAATAAGCAAAATATTGCAAACTTTGGTGTGATGGAGCAATGCGTTAAATCAATGTTATCTTCTCTCCATTTATAATGTTGTGGGCACGTATTAAGGATAAATCTAGTTCAACTCTTTGCAAAAGGTTTAGGCCGAATATTCTGCATATTATTTAACCTTGTGTGTGTAGCAAGCAAGGGCAGGAAATACCCCATAAACTTATGTGTCTAGAAAGTTTACTCAAAAAACGTTTTTATAGAAGTACCTAATTTCTGCAGAGCCTTAAATTCCGATTATTCTTAAATTTTTATTAAGCGACATAAAGTGTAAATTCGCTATGACGATCAGATAAAAAAATCAAACTTTTGTTGGTTTACTACGTCATGACAAGAAACAGATAAGATAAGAAGAAAACAGATAAGAAGTGGACAAAAAAGCAGAGCAGAGCAGAGCAGAGCAGAGCAGAGCAGAGCAGAGCAGAGCAGAGCAGAGCAGAGCAGAGCAGAGCAGAGCAGAGCAGAGCAGAGCAGAGCAGAGCAGAGCAGAGCAGAGCAGAGCAGAGCAGAGCAGAGCAGAGCAGAGCAGAGCAGAGCAGAGCAGAGCAGAGCAGAGCAGAGCAGAGCAGAGCAGAGCAGAGCAGAGCAGAGCAGAGCAGAGCAGAGCAGAGCAGAGCAGAGCAGAGCAGAGCCTTGCAGAGCAGAGCAGAGCAGAGCAGAGCCGAGCAGAGCAGAGCAGAGCAGAGCAGAGCAGAGCAGAGCAGAGCAGAGCAGAGCAGAGCAGAGCAGAGCAGAGCAGAGCAGAGCAGAGCAGAGCAGAGCAGAGCAGAGCAGAGCAGAGCAGCGCAGAGCAGAGCAGAGCAGAGCAGAGCAGAGCAGAGCAGAGCAGAGCAGAGCAGAGCAGAGCAGAGCAGAGCAGAGCAGAGCAGAGCAGAGCAGAGCAGAGCAGAGCAGAGCAGAGCATATTTCTAAGAGTGTAATAGCTACTCTTCTTTGTTAATGATCTCTAGAGATTGAGGAAACACTAAATTTAATGTTTAAGATTGTAGTAGATTGGCAGTTGCCAAGTTTCAAAATGCTATTTGGTAGACTACAGTTACAAGTAAGAAAGAAAGTCAATTTTTCGAGTTAATTTAAGGGGGCAATTAGTAGCAAAATACCATACCGAAAAGGGCAGGTCCCTGACCCATTGCCCCCCCCCCCCGACACCTTTCACATGACTTCTACAATAACATTCACCTTCTAAACTAAATTAATATTTTTGAATCTGTCCTACCAGGCATAGCTTTGTACTAGACTCTGCAAAGCCATTTTGGTTGGAACAAAGAGATCAATGGGATTTGTTTTGACTTTTGGACCAGTACATGGAGCTTTAAGTGTTACATTTTCTGGCAGCTGTTTCTTATTGAACTTTGCAATTCTTCGCAGTAGTTTCATTGCTTCCTCTTGGCGGCCATTAAGGTTTAACCATCTTATTGACTCTGGAACGAACCTTGAAGGTAAAAATAAGTATTATTTAAAAGATTATAGCAGATTGAGAGAAAAGAAGATTTCAACTCTAGTTGCATGAAGCGATGATCCTAGAAATCTTGCTGGATCTGGTGATCATAACTCTCTGGGAAAGGAAGATGGATTCAAACGAAGTCATTTTTTTGAATAATTTTGAATTGAACATGTAGGAGAAACTTGGAATTGTGCTGTTTTGTAAACCAACGTTTGTAGAGCTTTGCCTTCAAGGTAACGAGGACTTTACAAACAGATCGGTAAATAATTTTGGGTATCGAACCAGTTATGAATGTGAAAGACGAATGAAAAAAATTTGAATGAAGATATTATTGCTTGAATATAAAAAGGTATAAGAGTATCGTGCAGCAAACAGAGAATCAAGAAGCGAATGACTGAGTTGCAAAACAGCATCGTCTTCTTCTACACACCAAAGCTTGCACTGCTTTGCCTGAACTTAATCAATTACCTTTAAAGAGTGTTTGTTCTTTATCGAAGAGCTAACATAAAAGACCTTTGGCATAAATCCTTTCGATTCTGGTAAATTTATTTGCTCATAATCAACTTTCTTTATAGAATATTCGAGAAAAGCTAAGCAGGAAAATCAGGTGTCAGGAGAATTTTCAAAAAATCGAGGAACACTTTAGATAATCTACCAACTAGAGTTTGACACATAAAATAGAATTTTACATACGATTTTTAATAATTGTATGGTAATAGAGGGCCTGTTTTGGGTTTGCGGCTTCATGGCCTGGACCCTATTTTTACGCGCGGCCTCCGGATTCAAACATGGTTCATCTACGGATTGCGGTTCAACAAGAGATGCGTCTTGCGTCTTTCGGTATAAACTCGCATTGCTTCATGGCTTCTATAATACGGTTGCGGCTTTCAAATGAAATAACGGTCCGCGGCAAGGCTTTTCACTTTACACCAAAGGTTTTGAAAAGAGCTCCATGTCGAACTGGAGTAACGTGAGAATGGACAAGCTACTGTCAGTCATTGCTTTCAGTTAGAACAAGAAAGGAAGAGGAAATGTAAACAACAGTGCCCATATCAAAGATGTAGGATAACACAGGGATATAGTGTAACTGGCACCTCTTTGGCTGTGTAAGCAGGGCCGTACTTCCAACTGGGCCAACAAACAAATTAGACCCCCAAGGAATATTCAGGAGTTTTATATGGTGTCATAGGGAGCTCTTACACGAGTCCAATGTTTTCGAAGAACATTGTCTCCGCAAGGTGGACAAAATATCTACGTACAGTTTTCAGAATGATTCATGGGATGGTCAGTCCCAATTAATTGATAATAATAGAGATTGACGTAATATTCATTACTAGTGAATTTTCTAAGGATACTTTTACAGACAAGACAATTAGATCTCCGTTTGTAACTATTGAACTGGATATCATTAAAAAATTTAAACAATGAATAAATCATCAATCCTTATGTTGTGGACAATGTTGTGGCCAAGGTAGCAGTTAGCCCTAAAACATTTTGAAGGCTGAGGTTTTATATGGTGTCATAATCTGATCGTAAGAATAATGGGCTGCACAACATATTTATAAAAACAGAATTATAACCAACTTGTGCTTTAACAGGTTGTTGGAACCATTCTTTACATTACTTATCACTGCGCGAATGCACAACCTTTACATGTACAAGCTGCGGAAATGTATATAGATGACTCTGTCTAATATGAACTTTCATAGTTCCCTAAATTCACGAAAGCTTCTACACAACCTGATACAACTACCAAACAATATAAAATCATCAAATGTCTTTGCCAAAGACTTTATACAATATAGTATACTGTCAAGAGAAAGAAAGTATTTAAAATCTTTATAAGCAACTAAATATTTAAAATTAGTATGAGGGGATGAGATTGCCCAATCATGTAAAGTGAAAACGTTGGATCATAACGATGATATGGTCAGCGAAAACATTGAAACAGGTTTTATAATTCAAGTAGCACAAAGACTAATGTACCAAAGATATGGTCTCCCCTATGGAGCTTTTCGGCAAAACCAATTTCAGCATTTATGGAAATGTTCCTTTTTTATTCACAACTTCCAGCCTTCCTTATTAGTCTCGATATTAAGACTTTGTCCCAACCACTCAATGTGAGGGACTTTGTCCCTATATGACTAGAAACCATCCAATATTTTTTTCTAGGGCAAAATTGCTTCGAAAGGCCCATCTTTCATTGAACTGGAATCACTTATAATCAAAAATATTTTTTGTCCTTCTACGGCACCCATGGTGCTATCTCGGGTAACAAAACGTCGAGACGTTTTGTTAAGATTAGGGACGCATAGTTGTAAATTCTAATTTTTCATATACATAGCAATAAATGTATTTTTCGACTTATGCATTGGATTTTATCTAGCTATAGAGGCAAATTTTTCAGCTTTTGATTAATTTTTCAATAACTCATGAAATTGTTTCTATTTCTAAGAAGCGAGAAAAGTGATGCAATGACGGGTCGAATAGCAAGAGAGGCTATCTTCCTTGTTGGCTCAGAGTCAGAGCACAGTTTGGTTGCGCAGTGAGGTTGAATAACCGATTTATTCAGTAGAGCTTGAGTAGGGCTAGCTTTGTTTTTTGAATTTTGATCCATTCATATGATTCAGGGTACACACTTGTTATAAGAAAATAGTCTATAAGAATAATAAGGCTCTAAATTGCTGAAATTTAAGAATATTTTGAGATTAATGCAACGCTCAAGATTCACCAAGAATCAAATTTTTGGTTTATTTGAGTTTTGTTCAAAGCAAAAAAATGCGAATTTCACGCTATGTCTTTAAGTAGACGTATTTGGCCTTGGTGCCTTTATGACACTACCATGCGACTCAGTGACACCTTGTACTTTAAGAATATTGTGGCTCAGCAAAAGTAAGGTATTCTAAAAAAAGGTGGGAATGTCTCAATAGATGTTTAAGAACGTTTGGATTGATACAATGATAGCTTGCTGGGAAACATACTGAGGACCATAAGAAACAGTTAATTCTTATCCCCCTTATCAAGTAGATGGCTTTTGGTGTCTTGTGACGTTTTGCGAGGCCCTATAAGAGGGAACGATATTATCTCATTATTCATGATGGTATATTACAATTTATTCATATTTCAAATTACCAAAGCAAAGTATTTCGAAAATATCAAATGTTCCATTCCTTCCCAACGGTAGAAAGTTTTTAAGGAGATGTCAGAACACATTGGACCGACTAACATACAAAATAGACTGAGTCTTCAAAACCAAACTTTGCAGATAAAAAAATTGAAAACGTAAAAAGAATATGTTCAGGAATAGCCAAAGGGCCCCATACCTAGGTAAAAATAGGGAATTGATTCTCTTTGGAATTGTAGAAATCATTTGGTACATCTTTGTTTTGCTCAACTTGTTCTTGGGGAACAACAAAAGAAACTTGAAAAACATACATGTATCAAAACTGATAGTCATAAGTCTTTTGCGTGGAGGATACAATCTGAAGGGGCCAGTTATAGACATGCCTGGGAGAGACAACGTGCCTGAAAGGTTTTTGAACTTTGAATTTTAGGACATCTGATTTGGCTCTACTAACCGTCAAGAGTCCTAATAACCAGTTAATTCAGTTGTTTAATCGATTCTTCATAATACAGTCATACTGTTTTTTCTAGTCACTTACAGTCTTAGATGCATAAGAAAGCAAGAAGTAATGCTAAAATAAAGTTCCAGCGAAGCTAAAACTAAGCAAAAGCCACTCTTTCGATGTCCTCAAGATAAAATCGTTATAAATACTAGAGAATGCTACATGTGTCTAAAGAGTAGATATTTTAAGTGTCTTTTTTAACGGCTACTCGTCAAGTGTGAAAAAACGGGAGCTGTAGTGGGCCAAATTCTCTTTACGGCTGCGTTTACGTGGCTTTTCCTTATAGTTTGATCAAAATCTCTAATAATTTTTAGGATTGTTTATTGGTGCCAGATTGAATTAAAAAGTATGGCCAGAAACATTATTTTTCTAACCTCTTGAGGGATTGGTTAATTGCTTCTCTCAAGATGGTTTACAAAAGTGGTCTTAGAAAAAATTCATAGTATAATGATGTGGAACAATTAATATAGATTAAAACATTTTTATGATGCTATCTGGTGTTGTCGTCTATTTTATTGAGATAATATAAGCCAAAACTATTTGCGGTAGATTACATGCTGTTGGCATTTTTACTAATCGTGAAGTATGACAAGCCGCCTTTTCTTTTAAGCACCTCCTTTAAAAAAATGCCCCCAAAAGTTTGAAAAATTTGAACGAGCAACCCAGGCGTAATGTGGTATCTTAACAGCTCTACATATCAAATGTCCCTTGAGTCAATGCTGTTATCAAATAGATAATTCTAGCGCAACATCAAAAGATGCATTCAGTTATTTTGTTTTTTAATATTTTATACTGGGAACCAAAGTATTTTCATATTTCAAAACCAAAAAATTTAAATAGCTATATTTTCTCCCCGAAAACTTTAATTTATTTCATATTTCAGTTACCCCTTTTAGGGCCTCTTTTGCTATCGAGGCCGTGCTTGATTTCATTGCGGATTGCGGCATTTGGTTGATTTTTGCACGGTTTTGCGGCTTTTGCTGGGATTTTTTACGAAGAATTTCTCTGCGAAATAAATTAGAATGAGTTTAACTTTTTTTGCTTCTTGCTTGCGAAATCCTTCAGCAGCCAATCATATTCCGTATCCCTTTGTCACGCTTCCAAACTTCACATTCCAATGTCATGAGGTCAACAAAAGCATTAAAAGGAATTTGTTTGCGTAAAGTATTTCTCAGTGAAATTTCGCAAGACTTTTTCTCACTGGAGATTGGGCTTAATAGCCTAATAGACATCTAAAGAAATAACTTTAACTCTATACTTTCTTTGTATAAGGCAGAAAATTTTTTTGCTTGTACTTACTTGGCGAAAGCAAGTACAAAGATATATGGGACAGTGGATATAATGTAGAGCTTTTTCCATTCGCGAATAAAATAGGCCTGTACTCCGAGAATAATCAGCGACACAGCATAAAACGACCACAAAATGATTCCACTAAGCGGTCTGTATTTTGTACCAACAAACTCTGAAGCAATGACGAACATTTGAACGCCCGTGCCTGGTGTGAAGAAACCAACAATGATTCTGGTAGTGAGGAAGACCCAGAAATTAGGTGAAAATGTGCTGAGAAATCCAACAATGATTATCACAGCCAAAGATGGAAACAGGACCTTCCGACGACCAAACCTGTAAGGTTAAAAGAGAATGGCTTATTTCACTTGAAAATAACCAAAGAGCAAACGAGCTGAATCGGCATGATAGGGGCCTACATATCGGAACATGAAAGTTAAAGATATTTTCCTTTAATCATAGCTTTATCGAGCCAGAAATAGCTCCAAAGATTACAACTTCCTTTTAGATTGTCTATTATTTATTTATTTATTTATTTATTTATTTATTTATTAATTTGTCTATTTATTTATTTATTAATTTGTCTATTTATTTATTTATTTATTTATTTGTGAAAAAGGTGAGTCATTGTAAATCGTAACTGCGATTTGTGCACCTTACCTGTCAGCTACGATGCCAAGAGCAACAGCACCGACTGCCCACCCAATGAAAAATAACGACGTTGTCAAATACCCGTAGATTTCTTTGTCGCAGTAGAGGTCAAACTGAAAAAAAATAAAAGAAACAATATGAAACGTGATCATTCTAAGTACTTACATATTAGATGTTTTCATACAATGAATGTTTGAAATGGTAGAAAAAATACGAAATTGTTAATGTATTCATTTTTTCCGATTCCTACCCACTCTGATTTCGCAAACTATTTGGCCGGACCAATGAGGTGGCCGGACAAAAGGGAAATTAGCTGGATTGACATGGGAATTCTTTACCAATTCAAATCTTATTTTTAAACAAAAAACCCAAAATTGTCTTTGAAACAATAAACGGCCGACGTTTGAAGGTCTAAATTAATTCAGTTCAGTTCATATATTTTAAAATTCCTCTACATACAATATCTTACCAAAACACTATCTACATACATACAATGACTCAGAATTACATAAATAGACTTATCATAAGATACAATAAAAAACAATTACATAAGATATTGCATGCAGTTCTTGAGGAGGACCTCTCTCAATAGACAAACTAATCAAGGAGAAAGCACTCCCTTTTAGAAGATAGTTCTGAATCTTATTCAATCATTAATCGAGTGAGCAGGACTATTATTATCACTTTATAGCCAACTTTGATAGTTTTTCATAAATAAAATGGCTCGAAGCTTTTGACGAAAACTGAAAGCAGATGACGATCTTTTTACATCAACCAGAATATTGTTCCAAGTTCCTTGCATGGCCACAAAAACTTTTTTTGGATCAAGTATCAAGTAATTGGCAACCAGGGCTTGATACAAATGAGAGCTAATAGAGGGCTGAGAGATAAGGTAGCTTGCTACATAAAAACAAAGCAAAGGAAATTTTCGTGTTAATTTCTAGCCTTGCTTTGCATTAAAGCAAACTTTTCACAAAAATCAAATGTCGAAGTTTTGCTGTTATAATGTTTATTTATACTTTCAAATTTGTTTTGTCTATGGTACAAAGGTCTTGTGGATGTAAGAGATTTTTTCTGATCCCTTTCTCATAGTCTCACTAAATAATCTCAATATTGTGTGAAAAAGATCAAATTTGGTCCAAAATCCAGGTATATTTACTGGGGAGAGCTTGTACCTCTCCTTTTGTACACTAAGGGACTTCTTAGCAACTCTGAAGATTGAAAAACCTAGATATTTTAAGCAACTTTGAGGACTGGTCCTAAATTAAGTTGTTTCCTTAAAAATTTGTTAAGCATTTGCTGGCAGGTCAAGTGTCATATATTATCAACATCAATCTTTTCTTAATCTAAACCATCAAAAGAAAGTACTTTATCAGGTTGCTTAACAACGAAAGCATGGACCAGGTGTTATCATAGCGCGTAGAGATCTTTAGCGTCGAGGCAAGGCCCCTTTTTTGTTGAAAATTCAAAGTCACTAGGTTTTGAAAAACGATGAAATATTTTAAAGGAAGGAGGAAATTGAAAGATCTGAGATACTCTTTGGTAGCTAAGGATCTGCCCTTTCTGCTGATATAAGTCAGATTTTGTTACCTCAAATGCAAGGATACAAAATACGTTATGAAGGTGGTACATTCATTTAAGCAATAAATTTGCCTGGAAAGTAGCATTTTACGATATTTGCCAATTATTTGATATGGTTGGATTCACCAAACTCTTGTTCATCGAATCGTATATAGTTTAATTCGATCACATTAATAGTTTATCTTTTAGAAAGAGAAAACTGTGTCAGAAACGTATACCGTAACCTTAAAGTCAACCTTGAAAGGAAAATAAGCATTCATATTGTGTCACCTGTTACTGATGGCCCGGGGCAAAGTTGCCATCTTATACTTCAATTTCATTGACACTTGAAATTGGCAAGGAAAGACAATTTATATAAAAGACAAGAGCACTCTAATAATCTTACAAACATGTATTGGAGGCAGTGAAGATTGTACACAGGCAGTAACTGCATAGCCAACGAGAATCAATGTTGAGTATTCAAAGAAAAAAATTGTTATTCAAATTCTACTACAATAATAGTTGTTAACAAAATACTGATGATAATAATATAGAAGAATTAAAACAACAACACAATGCAACTAGGTGGAGTAGAATTCTTAAGGAGGAGCGCTCAAAGTAGGTAAACTAACGAGATGAGAGACCCCCCCCCTGTCGTCTATAAGAACCATAAACACAAAGGCGATGTCAAATTGCTAGCTTAAATAATAAAATTTGTTAAACATATCGAATAAAAATTTCATTTAGGCATTCACATAGCATTTAGCAAGTGATGTTTTAGATTCTTTTTGAATAAAAATATTCAGGGAGAGTCTCGGATGTCACCTGTTAGGTCATTCCAGAGTTTTGCTCCCATATATCGAATGGACTTTAAGCCAAATTGAAGCATATTTTTTTATCTAGATAGATATCTCCTCGGAAAGACTGCTTTGTTTCATAGTGATGGACTGATATATTTAGTGTGAAGAAATTGTTAAAGCAACTGGGTGTTAGTTTGTTTATTGATTCAAAAACAAATGTTACAAGGCGGAGTTTAAATATGTCATGAAGTCTGAGTAGCTTAAGATGTTTAAAGATCGGTGTTGAATGGGAAAAGGCCTTTTCATGTGAAATTGCTCTAACAGCTCTTTTTTGCAGTTTGAGAATAGGGTCAACGTATGAGGCAAATGTTTGACCCCAAACAATGATACCGTACTGGAGAAATGACATAAATAAAGAATGGAAGATGCATATTACAGAATCGGTTGGTAAAAAGAGTCTGATTTTGAAAAAAACTCCGCATGTTCTTGCCAGTTTTTTGGAGAGTTCAGTTTCGGAGAGTAAGTAATTCAAAGGCAAGGGTAAATAAAGTTTTGAACTATTTACAAGAAGATTCATCAAACGCACAAATAATCCAACATATTAACAACAAAAGGCTAACAGGGCACAATATCAGATGAGACCAGGACATCAGTTTCTATGATGCCACAAATGAAAAGTGCGGAACAAATGGTAAGGTGAACAGGAAAGCACTGAAAATGTGCCATGCAGCGTACGGCACAGCAGAGGGACAATTCTCGTTTGCAAATTGCGGATTTCAGTGAATCCAAATGGACTTATGTGATTTCCAGGTAAGGCCATAGGCATAATGTAATGTAATTTAGGACTTTCTCGGAAATCACAGATTGCCATGTAGGTGGCTTTGTAGGCTCTTTTCCTACCTTGATGTCATGATGTGTTCAAGAAAAAGATATATTTAAGCTGATTATTATAGGAAACATTAAAGTTTCTTATGTGCTATTTGCTCAGCAACAAGATGCGCTCAGAGGAGTTCTGAATTAAAGTGTTTTCTTTCTAAAGAAAGATCTAGATTTGCACGCTTGAAGCATCCAAAAAGGCTATTAAAAATATTGAACTGAATCAATGTTTGCCATGTTTGCCATGAATGTTTGGAATTAAAGTACCATTAACTTTTCTAGAAATTTTCCTATCTCAAGAGTTTTTTACTACTACTTATTATTTGTTAATATATGTTCTTGTTTTAACTGTGTTTTCGTCACTCGAGTATCTAAGTAAAGACAAAGAGATGTTTATGAATCACTAGATGTACAGACGATAGACCCGAACTCCCTTTCAACTCAAATGCGACAATCACAATTATTGATCCTTCTTCAAATGCATTCATAAAATTAAAGCTTCCAAAAGGTCACCTTTTATTCATGGTTCACTTCTCTGCAGAAGTTCGAAAATTTTTGCCTGTATTTGTGATTTTCCAAGACTTTTTTCCGTGATTTGTGATGCAAACGGACTCTTTACCACCCTCTTGTGCTGGTAACAGTATTTAATGGACTTTATGAATCCTTGAACTTGTATTATTTTAGAGCTTTACAAGATGAAGAGTGCATTGAGTGGATCGAAACAAATTCCTCGTGCTTTCCTGACTAAGCTCTAACTAGCAATTTCTCTCTAATAGCATGGAAAATGTGTTTTACAGAAGATGAACGCGAGGAAACCCCAACTTGTACGATGGTGACATAGTTGAGTGTTGCAATTAATTGGATCCGCTCTGTTCACCATTAGCAGTGACACTGATAGCTAAAAATTAAGAGAATTGAAAAGAATAATAGATAAAACAGCTACAAACCTGAGTCATGATTGAGTAATCTTTTGAATAGACAAATTCCCATTCTTTTCTCTCCAATTTGCATCTTTCTTCATACAGTGAATCACCCAAGCTGAATGTCATATTCTGCGGAAAAGTGCAAACCGTGCTATTGTATGTGCAACGCCACGGCGAGTTGTGCGCAGCAAAATACATCATGAATTCTTGAAGTGCTTGGGGTATAATGGAAATGCATAGCAAGGCTTCTAGAACATATTGAAAGCGAGAAAATTCTCCAACAAGTGGAAGTATACTGTCCACATCAAGCTCTTGCATTTTTCCTTGAGATGCCATTTCTCCTCGTCTAGTCGCTTAAAGGCATTTGACACAGGTAAAAGTGGCTTAAAGCCACTTGATCCCCAGCGATTGACCAATCAAATCAGTGGCGGAAATTGAGCATTTTCTGGAGGGGGGAGGGGGGTTTTTCAAAGACACTCAATAAACCAACAAAAAATTTGCCCACATTTCTAGCAGGGAAGTAGTCGTAAAATTTTAACAGGAGGGGGGGGGGGGGGCCCTACGAAATTTCTAAGTTGTTTTTTTCATGTTGTAATTGCAATTTGAGCATGACGAAGGTCGATATTTTTTCGGATCATGGTTTGAGCCGCCAGGAACATTGATTATTTGAGCGGGCAGCTGAGATCAGAACATTGATACCATGGAAAGAGCCGGGGGAAACTTCATTGCAAGTGAGGGAGAAATGTTTATATTGGTCAATGGTTTTGTGTAGACCGCCACCATGGTTGGCAGCGAAAAACTTTTGAAATATGACATTCTAAATATGGCCAGAAAATGCATATAAAATATTAACAGCATTTATAAGAATGAACTTTTTTTAAAATTAATAACCCATTGGTTGGATTTTGAATAGACACATTTTTGGTTGGCATACTTTGTCCTTTTTGTATACTTTCATGCATACAAACATTGCAATGCGTTTATATCTGTCAGTTGTTCTTTTTTCTTTTCTGGTTTAATCGTCAATAGCTGACCTATAGTGAAGTAACAATTATTAACAGCTTTCTTTGGGTTACATGGCTCTTGGCTATGTCCAAGCACAAGCGGCGTCCCCCTGAGCCCCCCCCCCCCTCACCGCTACTTCCCTGATTTTTTCTTCCATATAATAACTTTTTGAAACATTCGCAAGGTCCCCCTCTCGGCTTATTTATTTTGTTGATGAATTTTTTATTGCGGATATGAGTTATTCTGGGTATGCTAGCTTTTGGGGACATCCAAATTTCACAGTTGTGCGACTGGATTTGAGTTTTGCCTTCTCTCTGCTGAACCTCCTCCCTGATGAGCGCTTTGGCCATTCTTGGTGTAGAAAAACAGTATAAGGGGTTGTTAGTGATTGACATACGCACTTGTCTCCTTGCCGATAAGGCAAACGTGATTGTCAAATCAAAAGCTGAGAAGCGTTAACCTGCGTTCCAGAGCCCTAAATTTCGGATTGCCCGAGGGACTGCCAAGGTTTGCAGTCGAAAACTTTAGCCATGAGCAAACAAAGTTTGTTTCAACCAAAACCAGATTTAAATTTACCGACAAAGTCTAAGATTTTCCGACAAATTCTTACCTGGGGGCGATCGCTCCCCCCACACCCACACAAATTCCGCCACTGAATCAAATTGCATACAGAAAATACGTGGGAACAGTTTCCGCCTTTCTGCAAATCGGCAAAACCCTAAAGCAAGCAACACACAGTGGTTTATAGTGAGTAGTTTCTTTTCAAACGCGCGTGCTCTGACGTATTTTGTTTGGATTCGCTGTACTTATGCATGTCAAATGCCTTTAAGGTGAAAATCGTATCAGACTGGAACAAAGCACCAAACTTTTCATGGTGAAACCGGGGGTCATGGAGAACATTTCCAGAAGGGGTGCTGGTTTCTATCGATTTCGGGAGGTAAGCTACAGATAAAAACGGTATGCAAGTACCGTGGAGATTGAGAAAAGTGGGGGGTTTAACAAAAGTGAGGGGGCTAAAATCTTAAAAAATAGCTAAAGTCCCCCCCTTCCAGCCCACCTGCTCCACGGTGTGCCTGGTATGACGTCAAAGAAAGATCTTCATTATACTTTCTTGGAGATAATGTATGTATGATTGTATCAATGGATAAGATTTAGATGATTTATTCATTACTGTACATGACCCATATGTAAAGCCGCTTTTTCATCTTATTTCTGTGCATTTAAAATTTATCATAACCGGGGGTCAGCAAAAACATTGCACGCTAATTTTCAAGCATTTGCGGCGTTGAACCCACTTCTGAATGTAGATTATTTCAATTTAGAACATTGCAAGTTAATGAAACATCAACGATGCTCTAGTTTAGACGTCTTAAAATATCAGGCCACGCCAGTTTCACTGGGATGACTCGCAGGACACGTCCGCCGGTTTTCGGTAAGATAGACTTTGTAATTCTCTATATTTGATGAGAAATATCGGGAAATTCGATTCTCCGAATTCGAAACTGCCAAAAACGAATGCAACAAAATTAGTCATGGGTGTTCCTTTTCGGTAAAATTTGCATTCCTGGTCGGTAACGAGGTCAGCTGAAAGAAAAAAGGGTGTAACAGGAGGGCAGATATTGCAAGTTGGTTGTCGGATAAACTGTTAATGGATGCAAGATATTCTGACCAGTTGATGTAATCCTTTTCCTAAGTATTTCTTTTTTGCAGCAAAGGAATTACAGCAATAATCCATCAATCTGTAGTGCTTTCTTTACTTCTAAATTAGTCTTACTTCCTGGAAAGTCAATTTTCAACTTAGGAGTAAGGCACATTATTTGCTGAACAACTGCATAAATATGCGGGAGGTTGGAAATTGATGACCTCGAATTGGGGCAAAAGTTGATGGGGACCTGCTTGTTTTTGTGAATAAAATATACGAATGTTTGTTTCTTGAAAAGACCAGTTACTTAAGTGGGATTATGGTCATTATTGTCAAGCGTACAGATAATGAAAAAGCCTTTACTTAAATTTACAGGGCACACAATATCACATTCTAGACTTCGGCCTTGCAAAATCATAACACAAACTTATTCGCTTATTCATAGCTGACAAAGTCAGTGGCAAGGACGGCTTTTTTTGGGAGGGGGGGAGGGGGGGGGGATAATCCTGGCCAAATGAACAGTGTCTTTGAAGTCAGTTGCCGTCTTTCTAAGTTGGCAATCAAATGGTTTAGTTGAGCAACTGTCAAGGGCTCCGGAAGACAGAGAATAAAAGATGCATGCTTCCTGATCATGAAATCCAACAAGTTTTTGATTGGACCTTCTATCTTCGCTACGGTCAGCTGGTTTTCGTTTCATCTAATAAACTAGGGCGTGGTTAAGTTTCCATTGCATTATAATTGATCAATTTCTAGGAATCATAACATAGCAAAGTTGAAATATTGATTACACATAAAGGCTAATCACTCTAAAGAAGAATTAACATAAAATAATAAAAAACATCCTGTCTGACTTTCATTTTGTTATTCTTTGACTGTTTGAACCCGAAGATCTATAATGTTTTCATTTTATTAAACTGTTCAGCAACACATTTTTTATACTTCTTAGCACTGAAACTTAAAGCCTATCTTCTCTCGTAGTTACTTTACTTTAATTTCTTTAACTTTGGGAAAAAACTTTTGCAGTTGACTTAAGTGACTGAGAATGTGCATAAGACCTTGCAAGACAAGCAAGGATTGTCTTAGGCCCGCTTTTTTGTTGTTTTTTTGTTTGTAACCTTATTTTAATTCGATATTTCTTCTAGCTATACATATATATATGGATATATACACATACAACTAAACCAAATCGAATCTACTGTATAAAAAATGAATAGGAAAAAACTAAGGAAATAAATACGTACATACATAAGCTAAATATTTGAAGCAACTTGGATATGAATGGATAATATTTACAGGATATCAATATCATCATATTTGCAAACGTCTAAATGCTTGTGCTGTCTAAATTTCGATAGCGCACCGCACATGGAACTATGTCCTTGCAAGCAACCTTGCCTTGCTCTGTTGCGCTGTTTGTTCTTCAACTTCTGTATAGTTGCCTTTAGTTTTGCCTTTAGCGATAATACTTCTTTTTAGCTGAGAATAATTTTGCTCAACAGAATTAAGCTTATCTATTTGAATTTCTACGTCAACTTGCAGATGCTTTCACCAATTTTACTTTTCATACAACTGCACGAAAATGTCATATCTTCTCTTCATAACTAAATCATACTAAGAAGTTTTTCCTTGAAACTTTGGTAATCATCTACTGAATAATTGTGTTTTTTGCATTTTAAGACATAAAGGATGCTTAAAGCGACACTTTCCACAAAAAGGTTTAGGCAATATTCTTACGAAAATCAGTTTAATCAAATGCCAACACAATTTACATTTAATTTTTTGCTTGCCTGTCCTCCTTTCTGAAAACTACTCGTGCCTCGAAGTTTTACGTAGTTACTACACGTTGGCATACTATTTTTCAAACTCGCCCAGAATGTGCAATTTTCTTGTCATCGTTTGACAATAATTAATCATTTCTTGAGCATTTTTGTGCAATTCTTGTCAATTTTTCATTGCATGCAGGAATACAATTTCCCTTTCCTGCTTCATATTCAACAGTAAAGCGCAAGCAAAATTAGATCGTTCGGAAGAAGAAACTTTAAAACGGTTCTGATAGCACTTCCTTATCTTAACACTATGGCTTCAGTAAAAGAAATAGGTTTTTACTTAAATGTGATATTTTTAGCTGTTATAGAGGTATCGTTAAACGCAAATCCTTTGGCCCTGCAGCATAATAGCAGGGCCAAAGGAATCCCCCAAAATGGCATGGGCTACAAAAGGTACTGACTTCACAATACACAATACACTCGATTAAGTTGCCTGCACTCAATTAAAATAACACATATCAATTAATCATTATTATAAGCAAAACGTAGGAACATTTGTTTCTTTACGCAAGCTGAAAACTGTAAACGTATACATATTGAAAGACTTACATCTTGTCTCTTCTAAGAATAAGGGGTATAAGGAGACCAAAAGCCGCAAAACCGTGCAAAAATCAACCAAATGCCGAAATCCGCAATGAAATTAAGCGCGGAGACACGGTCGCGATAGCAAAAAAGGCCCTAAATATGAAGTGAATTAAAGTTTTCGGGGAGAAAATATAACTATTTAGATTTCTTGATTTTGAAATATGAAATAACTTTGGTTTCCAGTATGTAATATGGAATAACGAACCAACTGACTACATCTTTTAATGTTGTGTTAGAATTTTCTATTTGATAACAGCATTGACTCAAGGGACATTTGATATGTAGAGCTGTTAAGATACCACATTACGCCTGGGTGGCTCGTTTAAAATTTTCAAACTTTTGGGGACATTTTCT